TTATTCTATAATAAGGTTATTCTACTAGTTTTCTTATATTATATAGATCTCGTCGAACTACTATATAAGTACTTTAATATAGTCTTATATATTTCTACTAATATAGATTCTATCTAGGGCGTAATATCCTTTAGATCTATTAAACTTACTTTCTATTAGAGGTATATCTCGTATATAGTAATATTCTCTATCGAGGTTAATCTAGTAGTAGTTCTAGAACTTTTTATATAGGTTATTAAGTAATAAGTTAAAGTTAGTTTAATATAGTTATTATTTCCTCTATACCTTTAGAAAAACCTCTTTATTTCGTTTAACTATAGTAAAAATTATTTATTTAATTAGTTCTAGTATATTAATACTAAAGTTAAGTATTTTGTTATTACTATTATTATAACTATTAGTATACTTATTATCTAATAACTTAGGCGTATTCTTATAACTATCCTTAGAGTCTAGTATAATAGAAGTTAGTATAAGGCTTTTCTAATTATATATTACGACTAGTTATCTTAATTCTTCTTTATTATCGGATTCCTTCTCTTAAGGTTATTATATTTCTCGTAGGGTTATATCCTCCTATCTAAGTAAAGGTAGAGACCTTCCTTAAGTATAAATACTATCGTCTCTATCCTACTATAGCTACCGTTATCGAACTAATACTAGTTTATATATAAGGGGCTAATACGTAGCGCTATTAGATCTCTATAATTCTATTAAATTAAACTATAACGAGGCCTACTTAGGAACTATCCTAAGTCTACCTTACTTAAGTAGTAAGTCGTATAGAAGTTATTATATACCTATAGTATAAGGGGTTAGAGCTCGTTAGACGAGTAAGTTCTAAGCGATAGGTTAGGTAAGTAACTACTTTAAGGTTTAACCTTTTAGTAGGTTAGTAATTTAAGTTAAATACGAACTACCTATATAAAAAATATCTATTCTATATATATATAGAAGACTCGTATAGTAGTTATAATTACCTACCGGGCTCCCGCATGTATATCGCAGCGAGCTTCGCAAGGTACTCGTCGTTAACCTACTTATGGTGCTCCTCCTAATACCTTGGCTTACTGATGGGATTGACCAGTGTCTCATCTCCTTAGAAGCTGCGAGCGAATTGACGATCTCGAAATACCTAATCCTCCAGCTCATGCTCGCGCTGGATGAAGTGGCCGTCGAGCAAGACTGCAGTGGTCAAGCTCTAAGCCATCTTTCGATCACTCAGCACCGAGTCGATGTTCGTCAGCTCTTCTACATACATCTAAAAAGCTAGCTCTCCGTCGTTGACAGTACCTTTACGCTGCTTGCCCTTGGTCTTCGTTTCAAGCTCTTGGCTGTCCTGGAGCTAGATCTGGATGATAGTGCTAAGGGTGATAGGATCGATATCCCTGAAAGTACCTTCCCACAATGCCATGATGGACCGATGGCGCTTGTGAGTGTGTCCTTTGAGCATTTAATGTGCAGTCGACACAGTAGCAGAAGAAGGGGTTGCAAGTACATCTTGTTGTCACAGCCGGGAACGAGGCAGAAGATGGGTAGCAAAGCTCACTGCAGGTACAAACGAGATCGAATAGCTTCAGGAGACTTGGGGTGGAGTTTGTGTCTCGGGACACGGGATCGTGCATTGACGACGGACTTCCAGAAAATCCTGATTTCCACTCTGTAGATCCAGAGGCTGAGCAGAAGTGGGTGTCGACGATCCGACTGTAGAGGAGTACACACTTGGGAAGAAATACTGCCTGTGTCCACGACGGAGGCTTCGACTGAACACGACATGATCTCGGCAAGCTTTGCTCGATCCGAGAATTTAATCTGTCCGCAGTATCACTACACCATGGTCTCATATGTCACCGGTTTATGAACTTAGACATACCCACGCCTAGGTCGTTCGTGCTCACCTTCGTCTATTACCAGAGCAGTGGCAAAAGCATCCAGAAAAGCGTCCATAGTACATTTAGTCGCAACTGTACCAGAGTACCTGTGCTCTTTGTTGGCGTCAATAATCTTTAGACGCCATTCAGTTCGGCAAGGTCGTTGTGTTAGACACATTCTTCTCCATGAGCCAGCACCAAGAGGTTGTCATTGTACCTCGCCGTCATTCAACGATATCGATTGAAAAGAGATGTTCGTCACTTGTAGATATACCAACTTCTGTCCGCTTGTCTGATTGTCCCTCAACGTGGCCGACGTGCAGTAAATCCGTTTGCGGTTACCTCGCGGGAAATAGCTCTGAGCTATGCTCTCATCATCGAAGTACAAAGGTAGACGGGAGAGGACCTTCTCTTTCGTTATCATAGGATTGGAAGTGGTAGATTTTCCGGGTGAAGTAGTGGGCAAAGGAGTGACAAATAGCCGGTATTGGATAGTCAATGATCCAGCAACGACTGAGCAAAACCACCTGCAAATGCGTTGAGCCATCAATATGTCATCGCTAGGGAGCTCGAGGAGAATCATTTCCAGAAGTTCTGAAGTGCTCGTGAGCCAAAGCCCAGCGTTGTGTTGAAGATACGACGTTGTTTCCACCGCTGAAGGTCCTGCTCCAGCTAGCCCTTCGAATCCTCCAGTAGATACTTTGTACGGTGCAGTAGAGCCATCCGCAATAGATTGCTCAAATATGTCGGTGTGGACAGCGTTTTGATGCCTTGTAAGATCAGCGAGTGTGTGCAAAGTGAGAGAGAGATCCTCGGACTGTCTCACAAGCTGAGCCTGATCTTCTTGTAGTCTTTAGACTCCCTCACCGATATCTCCGAGAGTATTACATGTTTCCCTTCCATCTGTATCCAAAACGTGCTTCTCCTCAGACATGCTTTCACAAGTAGCACTGTTTAGCATATTGAGACGTGTCAATAGAGGGTCTCAGAGGCGAGGGCTTCTGTGCAGTATACAACGCGCGACGAACGAGTTGACGCTGTGGATGTTACTGAAAGTACGATTGCCAACGCTGTACTCTTACGGGGCTCTCATGTTGATTCGTCGTGCGCTCCACCGGTCAGTCTGCAGGGTAACATTAGAGCTGGAGCAGGTCCATGGTCTTTCAATCGCTTTCATGCCAATGCTGCACCTGCATAATACGGATCTCTATTCAGAGGGCCTTGTTATTCACGACCTCGAGCTGGGATGTGCTAGATGCAAACTCAATGGATGACTTTCCGAGGATAATCGATTTTACACCTGATGGTGCTGAAGCCACGTGCATACATCCATGCAAGAGCAAAGATGGCCAGCGTTGCGCAAACATTGTGAATGACAAAGACAGAAAAGAGACAGCTGAGCTCGAATTGAAATACGGTTCCCTTCATGTGGGTGACGAGGCGCAATGGTGAAATCTGAAGAGATTTGCAGAACTCGGTTCCTGTAAGCGGGCGCGTAGCAGGAGGGCCATAAAGCTAGGCATACTGGACAAGATTGCCTCTCAATGGCTCGACGAGTTGTCTCACAGGTCGAGCAGATCTTCCTTCACGGTCAAGCACTCGCCTCCACCTTCACGTGAACGCTCCATACCGTATGTATCGAAATGGCCTAGGGATGACCTTCATCACATAGAACGTTCCGCATTAAGCCCGAAGGTATTCGAATCCGGGACTATATACATGGTCAGGCGAAATGAAGATCCTGGTTCCGTCAAGATCGGCATTACAAGAAAAGTTGCAGACGATCGGTTCGGCTATTTCTCCTCTTGTTGCGGATTTGAGCCGATGCCTCTGCGGCAGATCAGACATGTCCCATGCTTGAGGCGCGTGGAGCGTCTCGTTCATGCTGACATAGTCTCTCACAGAAGGGAATGTACGACGTGCGTTGATAGAGCAGATTGCGGTGCTTTGCATTCCGAGTGGTTCGAGATTGATGAAGACCTGGCCCTTGCTGTAATGGAGAAATGGACGAGGTGGATATTCACATGGGACCCATATGATAGTGAAGGACGATTCGAAAATATCTGCACACGATCTCACACAGATCTCAAAGGCTTCGATCGGAAGCTGGCGAGTGAACAGATCACTCTCGGGTTCAACGCACAGGACGTGCGAGATGATGCATTAGTCTGCTTGTTTTCTAGCATGAGCATTGCAACGAAGCTTGTGCAATAGGGTATGTGCTTGGTGCATAATCATGAGTGCTGACATATGGATATTCTCTCTTAAAGGTTTCAGTGCTGTTATGAAGCTCCTATAAGTTTCCCCAAATATATTCCACAACACATGAGTGAATGAAGTCGCTTATGTAACCGTTCGACTAGACTCAAGTTACATTACCATTCCCCGATCATAGTCTTTTCAACATGCGCACCGGGGACCCGCATACTAGCTATCTGGTCGTTCTGGCCTGCAAGATAGCAAGATGTCCATCTGGTCGAATCTGCATCATACTCTCCAGGTAAGATCTCGGTATAGCCCGATCTCATGTATGCAGTTCGATGCTCGACGCATCGTTGCCGCAGCTGGCGAGGATGTGGTCAAGGTGTACGACAAAGCGGACGGGAGACAATGGGATTGTGGCGCTGGTATCACAGCAGTAGAGACCGATTCCAAACCCTCGATAGTGGAGAGAGTGAGGATCAAGGACGGATATATGGTTGAGGGTAGACGCGATGGTGTTGTTGGAGTGTAGAGCTGTTGAGATGGATTGGGTATGTACATGTAGGATCGATGCAGCGTTTCGCGAGGCGCTTGTGGAGCTGTGGCAGGTGTACTTGTTCGATCGTTGTACGCAAGAGCTGTCTGGCCAAGCAGTTCCACTCATGGATCTAAGCATCCTAATGCCCTGAGCGCGTGACATTGGAGCTGGGACATAATTTTGTGACTAAGGACTCGAGAAGAGGAAACGAAGCATGACCGCACCAGATATACCTGAGCTCCGTCCATCGGGTGAATCGATTCTGTCACTGACTTGCAGGGGAGCATCATATCTGCTCAGCATCTGTAACTATGTACCTATGAGATCTTTTCTTCTCCAAGATCAGTCTAACACCTGCAGGCCGTCTACAGTACATTATTGTTGCCTTATTAGCCACACTTGGCTTTGAAAGAGGCGAAATTCTCGTTTGCGTAGTCACCGTTGTTGCCAAATAGGGTGGAGTCCTCATCATCCATGCATTGAGAGTCGGAGTATGTGAGGACTTTGCACTTCGTAGCATCACCTTGGTGTCCGGTGAGCGTTACACAGGCCCCTTCACCAACAGTTTTGCAGGCACTGGTGCCTGGGAAAGCTCAGTCAGTAAAGTCGTTCGTCAGATCATGTATCAAGCGCGAGTCTCTCGTGTCTTGGAGGAAGGAGAAAGATTGTGATGAGACACCGCACTCGGGTACTCACCTGAACCGCTTGCTTGCACAGTCCCGAGGTTCGCTCCGGTACACCCTGTCACCCCACCGCCTGGGTTTTGCCCCTGGAACGCTGCATAGAACACTGAATTGGTGGCGTCCGCCTCGGGAAAGGCGGCTGGAGCTGCGTATGCAGTAATAGTGAAGGCCAGAGCCAGGAGCAGCTGGCTGGAGAAGTGCATCTTGAGGATTTCTTGAAAGCTTGAAGCGAGTGAAGATCCTGTTATGATGAAGGCGTGAAATGTGACAGAGGCAAGAGTGTTACCAGAGCGAGGGCGGAGCTCTCATACCCCAAGAGGTCCCATGCTCATCAATAACCTGGTCTCTGCGCCCTCGGGATCAGCATGAATCATCTTTCAGCTGGTCCTTGAGGCTTTGAACCAAGCCTCCACGTCTTTCCCTTTCGCTCCTTCTTTGCAGTAGTCCTTCACTTTGGTCGGGGCACGAATCCTTCGCGTCGGCCAACACAGCTGTGCATCATGCATTGTGGGCCCATATGACGCTTAGTCCAGTCGTCAAAGATGGACTGCAGCATGACCGGGTCCAAGGTCACAGCCAGAGGGGAGGTGGTGCTACAGCCGCTCGCCATGGTCATTGACTGCTCCATTGCGGTCACTGATGTGGGATTAATTCTTGTCCATGCAGTTGTGCTGCAGAGCTTGCCCTGTGTCGTACAGCGGATCCATGCACGGGGACGTAATTCCTAACATTCCTGTGCAGCCGTTCCGATATTATTCTGGGTCAATCGTGTTCGGCACGCACACAGAGACTGACTGTGTCAGCCCCAGAGTACGGAGATGCAGACTCGAATGCGGAAGTCGGTTAGTGGATGCTACAGCAGCTTGAGTGAAGTCTACGATGAGCTTGTTGGTCACCTAGATACATTAGCTTCAACATTGATCACGCGCTGTGGAATTTGCTGAAGTTTCTTACAGTCTTGTGCAAAAGTATCGGACACTGATGCACATCTAAAGCACCTCGAATGACATTGATCGGACTGGAAATTATCGTTGTCGGGGTATGTTTGAGTCACTAGCCAGTGAACTTCGATACCTTGAGGGAACTTCTAGCATGAAGCTTTATTACTTGGGTATGTATCAGGGTGGAAAAGAGACCGAATATCGAGATTCCTGATTCCCCGTGTTCAAGGTCACTTTTGCACAAGACTGTTAGGTCCACACCTTACATACAACCCCTCCACTTGGGAGCCAACTTGGAAGCGAAGGATTCGAAGGTCATAGACCATCACCAGATGTAGCATTGGTTTGCTTCTAGGATGCAGAGAGCGCTGGACCTGTACTTTTGGCCAATTTGTCACGACGGAGTCCAGGTTGATCTTCTTCAGTAAGTAGCAGGGCTCCATTCAATTTAGTAGGAGATCGGGCCATCTGGCATCAACTTGGAGTACTGGTGCCTAGTTTTATGGACCCAACCTGTGACCTGCCTGTTCGAGCATGCCTCTCGCAGCGCACCACCGCATCATTGCAACTAAGTGTCTAGTGTGTCTGCTGCCCACTCCAGCATTGGACCAAACGCTTTAACGCAACCTTTGCACCGCCATCCAGGAGCAAAAACGCAACAGACCAAGAAGCGAGACAGAGGATAGCATGGCAGCTTCGCAGGGTTGTGCGCCCATCACCGTCCACGGTCGCCAATTCAAGCAGGGCGACGCCCGCGTAAGAACCTGACCTCGAGGACATGCTCCTTCTCAAAAGAATCGCGAGACTAACCCCATGAATCAGTTCGTCGTGCGCGGCGTCGTCTATCAAGTGGCGGATAAAGACGATCCCACCGCCGACGATTGTCTGTCAGGCCTACAAGAGGATATCAAGCTCTTCATCGAGCTGGGACTGAACACCATTTATGTTTGTTCGTGGGCTATTCTTTGCCGATGAGGACGTGAAAGCTTACAGCGATGCCAGATACGATCGATCCAAACAAAGCACACGGCCGCGCTATGAAGTTGTTAGAAGACGCAGGTATTTACGTTGTCGCCGTATGTATTCCACCGACCAGCGGCCTGACTCTGCAGGGTAAGGACTGAACATTGTAGGGCATAACAACAACCAAATACTCCATTAATCGCTTGTCGCCTCTGTCCTCATATAAATCCGAGCATCTGCAGTACTGGTTCAGCGTCATCGACACCATGGCGCTGTTCAACAACACGCTAGGTCTCTTCAACGGCAATTCTGTCATCAACAGCAACCAGAACAAAAACGGCAAGTCAACTCTTACCGGCGCCTCTGCACCTGTTCTCAAGGCAGTGGCGAGAGATCTGAAACGCTATATGGCGCTCAAGCATAGCAAGACTGGTCTGAGAGTCCTTCCGCTTGGGTATGCTGCGAGCATGATGCCGGAGAATTTCACGATCTTGCGATACCTAGCTTCAGGCTCGGAGGCTGAACGACTGGACTTTTGGGCAGTATGTCTAATTCAATACTTGCAACCTGCGCCGCCAGTTTAGCGCGTTGGCACATTGGCACCGCTGACAGAACGACTCATACAGTGCTGTAATTATTCCTGGATATCGCCGTCCTCTCTCAAGACTTCAGAATACGGAGCGATGGTACGTGGACGGTGGCCCCATAACCCAAATCAAATTCGCTAGGCACTGCCAATACCCTTGTGTGGGTAGAGTACTGGCTAATACATCCCGACAGATCGAACAGTACGGTCGGGGAGATGTCCCAAACATTCCAATTTTCTTCTCGGAATATGGTTGCCGGCGTCAGGGCCAGGCCCGACCGTTCGACGATACCACGGCGATCTACTCTCCGCCCATGCTTTCTCGCTTCTCCGGCGGCTGCGTGTACGAATTCTTCCAGTCAGTCAATGAATATGGACTTGTTGAATTCTGTTCGTCCGAACATGTTGCCACCGAGGCGGACCAGGCCCTCCGCCGCGCAGCCGAAGAACGGCGAAAAGATGTCGTCGAGACTCGTTCGAGAGCTGGTGGCGAGATCATGGTGTACCGAGATTTTGTGAACTTGAGGGAGAGGCTGGCGGCAGCCGCGCAGGATGTCGCTGCTGCTCCCGCTGTAGCGGAAGTAGGTGAGCTGGGCATTACGTCAATTGCCGGAGCGTCTGGTCCTCCCACAGCCCACACGGCCTGGCCTTGGGAGCCGGAGCACGCCGAGCCGAAAAGCTGCGTCGACTGGGCTGCTGTCGAGGAGTCCGTGGGCGGTCTGGCGGATGGTTAGAAGATCTACATCAATGAATCTGAGCGCACGGCAACCACTGGTGCATCATCCGAGCACCTATCTATGGCATATGGTTATGTTCTCTCATGCAGCTGCTGGCCACCGCACTTGATGTGCATACCGCAAGAGTTCAGTGGGAAGATTTTACAAACATGCTCTCGCTCCATCTATCTCGCAACGCTCTACCGTCTCATTCGCAGACCCGTGACATTGCAATGTCGCCTAGCAACGCAAACGAGCGCCTAAGGCTCACGCCGCTTTGACTTGCTCGCACGAAGCCTAGTCTTTTGAAGGCAATCTGGCAGCTGTGCTCACGCTTGCATGCCTGCTGCTGGTGCTCGCTAATTGTGGAAGCTGGAGCACATCGAGCCAGAACGAAGTATAGAAAAGGCTGTCATTGAGCGGCGGCGACGCAGTGCTGCTGATACGCAGCAAGCTGCCGTCATCAGCTATACCTATATTCTCGAATACAATGAAGTAGGATTGAAGTAGTGTAGTCTCGCGCTTGTGTCGAACTAACGGGTAACAGCCACTAGCTTTCGCAAGGCTGAGTAGGTACTTGGTTGGTGTAGTTTACAAGAAGGCCGACTAGCCTGATGACTGTGACAGGTATCGGTGGACCTCAGCTGTGCCGCAATTAGGCATTGCTAGGACGGTGGCGAGAGCTATTATCGATACAAAAACCTGCAGGTACGGAGTCGTTGGAACATGCTTGATGATTGAGGATGATAGCAGCGCCGAGCCCAGCCCAGCTGGAAGTCATGCTCATAGTGGGAACATCTGGCGGTTTGGATTGAGAAGCAGTTGTCATCAGGCACCACTCACAAAGTCAAGATCGGAAAGCACTAGCATTCGCCAGCATGTACTCCCACAAGCGTGAACGCAGGAGCATCCAATTCGAAGAGAGCCTGATCACTTCACACAGACAAGGAAGGGTAGCTAGTCCCGCTACTACTTTAGTCGCTCGCTAGACAAGGCGCCAAAACAGGCCGAGGTGGGCTGACGAACAGGATGCAGGATCAAGGATATGAGCTAATAATCAGGCGAGCTGCTAGAGGGAGCATGGTCCGAAAGCATGCAAATGTACTGCACTAGAGCATGTGACGACGCTATCGCGCGATTGATTTGCAAGGACTTATAAGACGACTCCGTTATAATAAAAGACAGGCTTTGAACCCGTTAGAGATCATATGAAACGTAGAGCAGTAGGTAATTGTAAGTTCTCAATCTGCTCGCAAACACCAGTCACGCCTTCTAGTATGCTATGGCGGTATCAGTGGACGTGCCGCGATGGGATATCCCGGCATCACCTATGGATCCCAGGCCACGGACGAGTTTGAGGGCCTGTGGAAGTAGATTGATTCCCATTGCAAATCGACCAGAATCCATTATTACCGAGATCTATTGACCTGTTCCAGATCGAAGACGAGTCGAAAGCTGCTGAAAGTATTCGGGCGAAAGATATAATCCCAACTGTATCTGCTCACAGTGCTTGACCAGTCTCGACAGGCTTGGCCACAATGCCCTCAAGTTAATTTCAAAATCTGAGTCATGCCAGAATTTGGATGGCCTCCTGTTCAGAGCCGGTCTGAAACTTCCATATCACATCGGTCTTGACAGCGAGATCCCACCATAGCAGTTCCAATTCCTGATATGCCTGTTCCAGCTGTCTTCGCAGCTCTTGTATTCGACTGACACTTTCCCGCCCGACTTCTCGTGGTCCATCGCCAGAAGCAATGCTGCTGTTGTTGTCCATCTGCTTATGAGCAGTCTTTGCAGTAGGATGCAGGCCGACCTGCACGGCAGTCCTGAATGGTTCGTGGTACGCTGATTCCTTGGTATCTCCTGAATGGCATTACCTATATTGATACGCAACTGATCGAACCACCACTGCCTTGGCAAGTTGCTTGTGTGTAAGGAGCAGGTACGGTACTTCCAAGAACAGAGCCAATGTATGGGGCGTATACAATGATTGGACT